TTACTTTTCTAAAATGGAACTTATGTCATGAAGACCCACTCGACTAATGGCAGATAAAACTTTTCCAGATGTTTCCAAATGTTCTCTGCCCAATCCAGTGATTCCCCTCCCCTGCCCCAATCAAATTGGAGTATTAATATCTCTGTTTCAGTTTATTTCACAAATACCATGTAGGCATTCTCTTTCCATTATTTCACCTACCCCACTGTCCCCTGCATCTGCTAGAAGGGGTTTTGTTTTCATGATGGACCTTGGATGTCAGAGAGACTGGGTCTGGGGTGTGTATGTAATGTGTAGGATACACATGTGGGGTGGCTTGCCTTCTAGTTAAATTTTTTTTAAATTGAATTTAATGGGTTGACATTGGTTAATAAAATTATATAGGTTTCAGGTGTGCAATTCATCATCTGTATATTGTATTATGTATTCACCACACCAACTCAAGTCTCCTTCCATCAACCTTACGCTGTTACCTTCCCCAAACCCCTTGCCCTCTGGCACTCACCATACTATTGTCTATGTCTTTGAGATTTTTTTCTTTTTTAAAAAAAAATATATTTTATTGATTTTTTACAGAGAAGAAGGGAGAGGGATAAAGAGTTAGAAACATCGATGAGGGAGAAACACCAATCAGCTGCCTCCTGCACACCCCACACTGGAGATGTGCCCGCAACCAAGGTACATGCCCCCAACTGGAATCGAACCTGGGACCCTTCAGTCTGCAGGCCGATGCTCTATCCACTGAGTCAAACCAGTCAGGGCGAGTTTTTTTTTCTTTGCTTAATCCCTTCCCCTTTTCAAGAAGCTCCCCAACCCCACTCCCCTCTCACAGCTGTCAGTCTGTTTTCTATCCACGAGTCTATTTCTATTTTGGTAGCTTATTTTGTTCATTAGATTCCACATGTGAGTGAAATCATATGGTACTTACCTTTCTCTGACTGGCTTATTTCACTTAGTATAATGTTCTCCAAGTCCATCCATGAAGTCACAAAAGGTAACATTTCCTTCTTTTTCTATGGCCGAGTAGCATCCCATTATGTAAGTGTATCATAGCTTTTTTATCCACTCATCTACGGATGGGCACTTGGGCTGCTTCCAAATCTTGGCGATTGGAAATAACAGGGCAATGAACATAGGGATGCATGTATTCTTCTGGATTAGTGTTTCAGGTTTCTTCAGATATATTCCCAGGAGTGTGATTGTTCCATTTTTAATTTTTGGAGGAAACTCCAAACTGTTTTCCACAGAGGCTGCACCAATCTGCATTCCCAACAACAGTGCTCACCAACACTTGTTGTTGATTTATTGATGGTAGCCATTTGGACAAGTCCATTTGGACAGATGTGAGGTGATATCTCATTGTGGTTTTAATTGGCATTTCTTTGATGATGAGTGATGTTGAACATCTTTTCATATGTCTGTTAGCCATTTGTATGTCTTCTTTGAAGAAGTGTCTCTTCAGGTCCTTTTTTTTTTTTTTTAACTGGATTGTAATTTTGGTGTTGAGCTATATCAGTCCTTTATAAATTTTGGATATTAACCTCTCATCAGATATCATTGGCAAATATGTTCTCCCATTCAGTGGGTTGTCTTTTCATTTTGTTGATGGTTTCCTTTGCTGTGCAAAAGCTTTTTAGTTTGACAATTAAGGATTTAATTCATTTTGAGTTTATCCTTGTGGTCTAGTTTCATTTGACCAGAACAGTATGGGTTTCTTTCCGGGCTCTTTATTCTGTTTCTTTATCTATATGTTTGTTTTTATGCCAGGATCATGCTGTTTTGATTACTATGGCCTTGTAGTATAGTTTGATATCAGGTAGTGTGATTCCTCCTACTTTGTTCTTCTTTCTCAAGATTGCGGTGGCTATTTGAGGCCTTTTGTAGTTCCATATAAATTTTTGGAATATTTGTTCTAGTTCTTTGAAATGCACCATTGGTATCTTGATAAGAATTGCATCAAATCTATAGATTGCTTTGGGTAGTACAGATATTTTAATGATGTTGATTCTTCCTATTCATGAATAATATATACGCTTCAACTTATTTGTATTTTCTTCAGTTTCTTTTTCCAGTGTCTTACAATTTTCTGAGTACAGATCTTTTATATTCTTGGTTAAACTTATTCCAAGATATCTTATTTTATTTATTTTTTGATGTAATTATAAATGGGATTGTTTTCTTAGTTTCCTTTCTGATAGTGCATTATTGGTGTATAAAAATGCAACCGATTTTTGGGTTTTATTTTGCATCCTGCAATCTTACTGAACTTATTTACCAGTTTTAAAAGTTTTTTTTTGTCTGTGGAATCTTTAAGTTACTTTATATACAGTTTCTTCAAATAATGACAATTTTACCTTTTTCTTTCCAATTTGGATGCCTTTTATTTCTTCTTCTTGTCTGATTTCTGTGGCTAGGACTTCCAGTACTATGTTAAATAAGAGTGGTGAAAGCAGACATCCTTGTCTTGGTCCTGATCTTAAGGGAAACGCTTGTAGTTTTTGCCCAATGAATATGATGGTGGCTGTAGGTTTGCCATATATGGCTGTTATTATGCTATGTTCCCTCTATTCTTATTTTGTTGAGAGGTGTTTTTTTTTAAATCATAGATGGGTGCTGGATTTTATCAAATGCTTTTTCAGCATCTATTGATCTGATTATGTGATCTTTATCTTTCAATTTGTTTATGTGATTTATCATGCTTATTGTTTTGCAGGTATTGCATCAACCTTGCATACCTAGTAAAGCCCACTTGATCATGGAGTATGATCTTTTTAATATACTGCTGGATCTGGTTTACTAATATTTTGTTTTAGAATTCATGTTCATCAGGAATAAGATTTCAATGTTATGCAATGCCTAGACATGCATTGGGGACAAAAATGATTGCTTATCACTATAATTCCATAAACAACTTAATCCAGCCTCTGGAAGGAATGATTAAAAACCCAGTCCAATACTCCTTGGCTGACCTCATTTTTAGACTTAGCACCTTATGTTTGTGGAATTCAGATTTTAAGGAGGAAGGATTAATGAACATTGATGTTGACTATTTAAAAGAATATAGCATAGAACAGAGACATTCTTCAGTTAGGGAGAGAAAGCTAAGTTGTCAGTACTTTGGCAGTTCGAAGACATGCTTTAAGCAAACAGGCTGAATTCTTTTGGCTATAGAACCAATAGACTTGAAGGATAGTAGTCCAACTAGATTTCCATCCAAGATTTCACAGAATTACAAAGTGATATTTAGTAGGTGTAGAAGGTGTCGAAGCAGAGGTTATCAAAATTTCACCACGCCCTTGGACTTTTACAGTAATTCTTGTTCCTTTCAGGAACAGTCACACTGTGTATATGTTATAGAAAGTTAAAATTTCCAGTCAGAGATGATGCATGTCTTTGCATCAGTAAGTGTATTACTTAATCAACTGAAATTCTTAAAACCACCTACACCAGGACTGATGTGAGGGTTTTGGCCAGTGCCCTAGGGCAGTGATGGCGAACCTATGACACGCGTGTCAGAGGTGACACGCGAACTCATTTTTTGGGTTGATTTTTCTTTGTGAAGTGGCATTTAAATATATAAAATAAATATCAAAAATATAAGTCTTTGTTTTACTATGGTTGCAAATATCAAAAAATTTCTCTATGTGACATGGCACCAGAGTTAAGTTAGGGTTTTTCAAAATGCTGACATACTGAGCTCAAAAGGTTCGCCATCACTGCCCTAGGATGAACTGGGGATGTGCCCAGCACTCTTCCCACTCAGTATGCATCTGGAAGCTCTCCCTTCCTTTGAGCCCAGAGGGAGGCTGTGACTGGGGAGGGTGGGGCGTCTGTGCTGCCTGGGAGGCAAGGAATGCGTATCAATCACTGTTTGGTGGGTAGTGCAGACACATTGCCCTTTTATCCCACCACCATCCAGGCCTCTCCCGCCCAGGTAGAGCTCTTTACAACATCGATGGCATTTTTAGTCACAGCAATAACGAACATTTGTGCAGTGCCTAAGAACTTACAAAGGCCGTTGGTTTCACATTGCCAGGAATGAAATTGAGATGGCTGACGTTGATGCTGGTGTTCACACCTTCCAGCCACATCCTTCTAACTGACTAATCAACAAATCAAAACAACTAACCAAAAAATTTTCCCTGGGACCTGTGATGAAATGCACCACGGCACCCCCCACGCTTTTTACTGGTGACAACTTCTGATGCTGCCACCATCCAGGACATCAGGGACTTCTCTTGACCACACAGAGTTCTCTTCCTCTGTACACACTCTCTCCCTATCCCGTTGGTTGTTTAGATTGGACGTTTAGTGTAGCAAGTTCTGATTTGGAGTATACGCCACTACAGGCAGGTCTGTGAATAATATGGTGTGTTTGTTTCTGTTTATTTCATTTTGCCTTAGCTTAACCCACTGAGTAGGCAACCATATGTTGTTAAAATATCTCACTTTTCAGTTCTACCTTTGCTTCAACTAACCTCACCTACTACATCTCTTGTAGTGAAAGAAGCAAAGTCCTTTTCACTCATCATGACCAGGCCTCTCTCTTAGTATGATAGGTTGTACCTTTAGCAGTTTCTCAATGTCCCATTGGACTTCCATTTGTAGATCATAAGCCATCAGGCTTCTGGTAGGCACTCTGAACTGCTGGTCTTTCTCCGTTCCTTCCAGGAAACTTGTAGCCCATCTACCTTGAATGATCCCTCATTTTGGATTGCCCCTGTTGTTCTCAATGGCATCTCTCTTACTCAGCAAGCGCGCTCCTCATTGAATATGCATGTCCACGTCTCTTATTGATATATCTGCTGCCCACGCATATGGGAAAATTGACAGTGGCTTTTGCTTAATATCACTGTGAGCATTTCAACTTCCAGTTTATATTGTGTTATTTCTGTGCATGAAAACTGGTAAAAAAAATTCACGTTTACTACAGAGCCCCCAACATCCTCCCTGGCACATCTCCTGCTCCGACCTTCTACAGCGGCCCCTGCCCCACTCACCGGCCATGGAGGAGACAATGACAATGCTTCCATTGCTCCGCTTCAGCATGGGTAGGGCAGTCATACTCATGACCACATAACTGATGTAGTTGACCTCCATGCTTCTGCGCACTAAGGCGATATCACCAGCAAATGGTTCCATAGTAGCGCTGGTGATGTGATTGAGAATGAGCATGTCTAGTCCTCCTGCAAGAAATGACTCTGTTGAGAGAAACTATCTGGGGTGGATACCTTTTCTTCTGGCGCCCCCCCCGCCCCCCCGTTCCTACGCTCCCCGAGCCAAGTCCCAAGGAGCAAAGATGATAGAGGAAGTCCAGAGGAGGAGAGAAGAGAAGCAGCCTCACCCAAGATCTTTCCAGCTTTGGCAATAAATTGCTCTGCGAAGGTCATGTCCTCCATGGTGCCAGCAATGTAGTGTGCTGAGGCTGCTCCATACTTCAAGCAGTCGGATACTATCTGCAGGGACACAGTGACCTTGGTTTTAGTATTGTAACCAGATTCTAAGTTTGACAGCTTGCCAACACAAAAACCAAACTCATGAGACATGATGCTGGTTGAAAAGAAAAGAGATGTTATTCAAGTGCTGGTCACCTGGGGAGATGGGGGACTCTTGTCATAAAGCCCATCATCTCAGTACAGGCAGAGGTGTTTTTTAAAAAATATATCTTTATTGATTTCAGAGAGGAAGACTGAGGGAGAGATAGAAACATCAATGATGAGAGAGAATCATCGATCGGCTGCCTCTACACATGTCCCACTAGAAATCGGGCCCACAACCCAGGCATGTGCCCTGACCAGGAATCAAACCATGACCTCCTGGTTCATAGGTCAGTGCTCAACTACTGAGCCAGCCATCTGGCTGGCCAAGCAGAGATTTTTATAAGGAGGGAGAGGCAAAGCATAACAAAGAAATCAAGGGCAAGGGGTTGAAGAGTTCTCTATGTGCAGTCTAGCACAGTCTATTCTGATAAGGATCTTAAATCTGGTCAAGTGATGGTGTCATCTCACTTTTTTCTTGTCATCTTGGTTCTATGGTTGAAGGTTAGCAAATCTCCTGGATCTGGGATGACTGAAGGCTGGAGTCTATATCTTCTGAAGTTAGTTCCTAGGATTCTCATACAAACATGCTGTTTATCTATAAGCTACATCTTAGTCAGAGTCAGCTTTACAGAAACAATGTCAAAGGAACGGCGGGCTGGGGTACAATTCCTACGGTTACAGTATTGGCTACAGACCTTTGGGGATAGTCTCTGAGGTAATGGGGATTTAGATGAGAAGTTGTTCACAGCACTGGTTTGATAAGAAATGTTAGCGGGTTTATGTGCATGAACGTGAATTTAGTGAACGTGTGTGTGTGTGTGTGTGTGTGTTACTAAATGCAACCCGACATAATCTTTGTCCTCGGTATGAAATACTTCTCTGGAAGTATTTCAGGTAGGGTGTAAATGGGTAAGTCATCACTGTGCTTGGGTTCAAGTCCATGATTTGTGTATGTGAGTCTCTGTGAATAGATGTTTTTGAACGATCCTAGTTTCCATGTGGGTAGCCCTAGGTTTGTGTATGGTTTATATCCTTGGGTTTGTGAGTCTGAGCATAGAAGAGGGCAAAGAGGGCATGTGTGTGAAAGTTTGCATGGGTACAAGAATATTAATTCATGTGTAGATACTGGAATTTTGATACCTGAGTACATATTTACATATCTGTGACTTTGTGTATAACTGCATGTGCAGAGGTATGTCTATGAGTCTATATAACCCAAGAACTTTGTGTCTCTCTCTCTATATATGTATGGGAATGAACACTGAAATGCGTATTTTTATATTATTGTGGGTGTTTGAGCCTGTATGTGTGTGTGCCTGCACATGTGTGTGTATGCATTGTGTATGTATATGTAAGTATATGTAAAAATATACCTGGGCATGTAAGCATGTATGTGTTTGTGGGCACAGAACCCTCACCTTCTTTTTTTAAAAAAAATATTTTATTGATTTTAGAGAGGAAATGAGAAGGGGAGAGAGAAACATCAATGATGAGAGAGAATCATTGATTGGCTGCCTCCTGCACACCCCCCACGGGGATCGAGCCCGCAACCCAGACATGTGCCCTTGGCCGGAATCGAACCCGGGACCCCTCAGTCCACAGGCTGACGCTCTATCCATTGAGCCAAACCAGCCAGGGCACCCTCACCTTCTTTAGAGCTTCTTCTGACCTCGCTGTCACCATCACGTGGGCTCCCATCTTCGCCAGATGATAGGCCATCTCTTTTCCAATCCCCTTGCTGGCCCCTGTGACAATCACTTTCTTTCCTTGGAGCATCTCTGGGAAACCCCAAAAGGAAGTGAGGAGTAAACCCAACTTGGCAGCAACATTCCTCCTCCTGCTCTGGACATGGGCAGCCTTATCTCAATGCCTCACGGTTATGCGTCCAGATCAGCTTATTTGCATACATCAGTGGAGGAAAGTTCAAGTCTTTCATAAATATGCTCTGAAATGGTGGTTTGGCTTGGTTGCTCAGAACCAAGAATACCTACTGTTTCTCCTAAAAATCAACAACAAGACAAAACAACCCTCCGTGGACAGAGGTTTCAGCTGGAACACTAGCGTTCCCGGTGTTTCTGGACTCAGCCAGTTTTGCTCCATTGAAAAAAAAATGCAAAAGGTAATCAAAACAGAGATCCCAGGGATCTCCCCTCACTTCTGGTTAGTCATCAACTCCAGACCACTTTCTTGCCTCCAACTTATCAGTCTTTCCACGGAGCTCAGGTATCTGGCTGAGCTGTGAATTTTGGAGTTAGCCTTATTTTTGTAGGGGATCTGAAATTGCTTTTCATTAAGGGGCCCAAGTGCCACACAGACCATTTGCTCTTGGCTAGGTGATTTCCCTTCCCCACTCTCCTGTGACCCAGCCCCTGTGGCTGAAGGACACAGAATTCCTCTCCTACCTCTGGGTCCCTTGTCGTTCTACAACTTTGGAGGTCAGGAAATCATCATGATCCTCCGGCACTGCAGCTACCTGTTTTTTTCTTTTTATCTATCTCTTCAAAATTAGACACACTGGTACTTACCTGGTTTGAATTCCTCATCCGCGGAATAGTAGTAGTAGGCCAAGCAGATCCCCAGAATGGGTAGGAGATAGTTTTTCATACAAGCCATCGGACAGGGATCTGGCACGAGGAGCCCTGTAGGACACACAGAGAGAATCTACACAACTTTTTACAGCCTTCCAGGCAGGCAGCAGCCTCTGAATTGTGACATCAGGGCCGGGAAGGCTGGAGTAGTCTCAGACAGTGCTAGCCAATTTCCCTGTAAGAGCAGCGCGATTGGCTATGGGTGAGATCGCACTTATCTTGGCAGCCTGCATGGTAGATTTCACAATGAACAATATTTATTCCAATGCATTGAGCAAGAAGAGACTTACAGATCGCCAAGTTCATGACTGTACAGGACTGGATTCCCAGCATCACTGCCCCGAGTCCATCTTCCTCTGAACACCATTTACACTAGCAGTCAACGACCTTACAAAAGTGCATGGCAAACCCCCATTTCAGAGCATGTTTATATGTGTGCGGCTTCCGGGGAAATGTGAGTAATAGCCAAGAGAGCCAAGTTCAAGTCAAATCTCACTCTCAGTCCCACCTCCTAGTCAGAAGCTATTAAAAATAATAGCCCAATACAGAAAAATAAGCTTCTTAAGAAAATATGTGCAAAATATGTTCTTGGAAAATAAACAAGCCCGATAAACCTCACACAAGTTCAGTGACCATGTATTACAACATCAAAAGGGAATGCAAGCCAGCCAGGGCCCAGAGGGCAAGACTCTTAGGAAAGCTCTAGCCGATTTGGCTCAGTGGATAGAGCATTGGCCCATGGACTTGAAGGGTCCTAGGCTTGATTCCGGTCAAGGGTACTACCTCAGTTGCAGGCTTGATCCCTGTGTGGGAGGCAACCAATCCATGTGTCTCTCTCACATCAATGTTTCTCTCTCTCTCTCTGTCTCTCTCCCTCCATTCTCTCTCTCTCTCTAAAAAAACACAACACACCAAAACCCCAAAACAAACAAACAAACAAACAAAAACCACACCGAAAAACAAAAAAAAACTGATGGAAAAATATCCTTGGGTGAGGATTAACAACGACAACAAAAAGCTCTCAGGAAAGTACAACGGAATGTACACTTAAGACTTTAATAGCAAATAAAGAAGGAATAATGAGTGCCAAAACCCAAAAATGGTACAAAGCTATTAAGCTGGGTCTTATAAATGTTATTGAGGAATGAGAACCATGGAGAAGTTGCTGCAAGAAAAGGCCTGGTGCAGGAGAACAAGCAGCAAGCATCTCCGAGGCAACACTGGCCTGAAAATCCCACATCCAGCTAAAAACTGATCTGGAACAATACAAGGGTCATAGAGGAGAAACCCTTAATTTAGAATTTGTCATAGAATTATAGAAATAACTATGCTGATATGTCTATAGTAAGATTCATTAAGGAGCGATTCTTAAAGAATGACTTGAAGATATATTATTGTTAAGTTTTTCAACTTAAAACCAACTAACCAAATCATAAAAATTACCCCATCACAGAGCAAATTTGGAATTCTGCAAAGTTACCAATAGAACTGAGAAAACCATTTACATGTGACGGTAAGAATGGGTACGGGGCTTTGGACAAGGAATATGGGTTGAGGTAGTGGTTGGGGGATTCTCACAATATTAAGAAAAATCGAGTTATGACACCAAGTACAGGATCTGGAAATGCTCCCTGAACTTTCACTTCAGAGTAAGGGAAAAGAACTGAAGACCCAAAGGAGATGAAATAATTTGTCAACAGAGACCCACAGCTGTAAAGTTTACTTCCAGAAAACAATGAAAATTTGAGAATAGTTAAGGGCTAGATAGAGTGCAAGGTCCATGGAGGACTAAATAGAAAAAAATAAAAAGGAAAATTCAAGTAGAAAATTATATTACCTACTGTCAGAACTGTAAGAGTTATATGCATAATTTTATAACTGACTTTATGCTACCAAGGTATGTTACAGACTAGACTCCATGCTCATCTCTACAGCAAAGGAAATTTAAGTTTATTTTCTTAATACTGTACTATTAATAATAAAATTATAGGAAGGAACAATTGCTTGAAAATATGATGCTGCTGAAAGGATGGAAAGATGGACAGACTAGGAAAGTTTATTGTCTGACAAAAAAATAAAAGAATTAAAATTCACTACTGAAAAGATAATCTAAAGACATAAAAAAATAACAATGAGTAGGATAAACAGCAGGGCGATAGAATGTAAAACTAATGCCTTGACTATAGTTGATTGTTGGCTGAATTAAAAAATAAAGTCCAACTTTGTGCTGCCTCAAAAGACAAATAAACACAGACGCTAACTCACACACAGATGAATAACTTGATGACCCAATAGCTATCATGCCAGAAAACAAGGACAGAGAAAGCACCTAACAAAGTAACATTCATGGAATTAGATGAAATAATTTTTAGTCAGTAAAGTGCATTAATGAGAAATGAGGACAATGCATAATGGTATATATTCTTAGCAGTTCTTAAAATGTTTAGTCTCAGGATCCCCTTACAACCTTAACAATGATTGAGGATCACAAAGAAATGTGCATATGTGGGAAAAAAGTCATATCATCTCTTAGTATGATTATGAAAATAGTTTTGATCTTTTAGACCCCCAGTGGGGTCTCAGGGACCCAGGGGTAGCACATTTTGGCCATATTATGTAATAAACACGGATCACTGTATGTTCATATTTACATGCCTGGTTGTTTCATTTGCTTATAAACTCCTGGAGGACAGGGACCCCATCGTTTCCATCTTTGCTGTTTTAGTGTTTCTGAGTTTCCGCAGCAACGAGAAGATGCCTGGCTTCCTGGACTGAGTTAAAAAGCAGGGAAATCCCTGGGATTCTGTGTTCTGGTCACACCCGATCAGCCCCACTCCCTAGTCCTCTTCTAGAGCTTCTCACCAATTTAAAAAATATGAAAGGAAACAACGGTTTCACCTTGCATTTCTTTCGAGTCAAATTTTCCCCAAGCAAGTAAAGTTGCTTTCACTGCCACAGCACCAAAGCTAGCTGTGCATGCCACTCCTCTGTGCTGCCTCCCATTTTGAAAAATTAAATTTCAAAATGGGTAACATTGGTTAATAGCATTATAGAATATTCAGGTGTACAACATTATACTATGACATCTGTGTACTCCACAGTGTGCTCACTACCTGAAGTCTAATTTCCTTTCATTAGCATATATTTGACTCCCATTACCCACTGCTCCCTTCCCTCCCCACTTTCCCTTCTGGGTCCCACCTGTTAGAATGGCCATTATAAAAAATTATAAGAAATAACAAGTGTTGGAGAGGGTGTGCAAGAAAGGGAAGCTCAGACACTGTTGGTGGGAAACTAAGTTAGTGCAGCCACTATGGAAACCAGTATGGCCTGGCCAGCTTGGTTCAGTGGTTGAGTGCAGACCTATGAACCAGGAGGTCATGGTTCAATTCCAGGTCAGGGCACATGCCCGGGTTGTGGGCTCAATCCCCAGTGTGGGGTGTGCAGGAGGCAATCTATCAATGATTCTCTCTCATCATTGATGTTTTTATCTCTCTCCCTCGCTCTTCCTCTCTGAAATCAATTATATATATATAACAAAAGCATAATATGCTAATTAGACTGGATATCCTTCTGTATGACCTTCTGCATGAAGCCGGGGCTGCAAGGGAAGCCCGGGTCCCGGGTGCCAGAGGGAACCCGGAGCCGGCAGCGGGGGAAGGAAGGCCTACACTTGCACAAATTTCATGCATCGGGCCTCTAGTATATATTTAAAGAAAACAGTATGGAGACTCCTCAAAAAATTAAGAGTAGAGCTACCATTCTGCGTGCCCCTTCTTTGCAATGCACTGACTATCTACATTTCAGACAGGCTTTCCGTGAAATATCATGAAATATCCGTGAAAAAACAACCTGGCAGTTTTCAGAAACCCACAGAGAACGGGTTCCCCTCAGCTGGAGGTGCAGGTGGGAGGCCAGCCAGGCCTTCATTCCCAGCCAACTAAAGGGGGTCCAGAAAAAGCAACAAGGGGAGAGGAGCACAGGGGTTGAAGGGAAAGGGACTCTGGGGGATGGGCCAGGCCTGGGAGGACTACTAGGAGAAGGCAAACATGTGAGAAGGAGCAGCCAGAGGGAAATTTGCATACATATGGCCTGACATGCGGATCTCAAGAGAGGAGTTCCTGTTATTTCTGAGTCCCAAGCCACTACTGTGCTTTTCAGGGCTGTTCCGCAGCTTTGCTAAGAAGTGGCCTCTTTTTGAGAAAAATGAATCCTGCCAGGGGAATAGCGGGCAGACAGGCCCAGAGTAAATGGGGGGCAAACGCTTCCTTTTGGGAGGTGCTGCCTTCCCTAGGAGAATAACACGCACCTGTTGAGACAGGAAAGGATCTTGGCATAGCATTAGAATTCCCCTTCTCCCCACCCGCCACCCCAGGCCAGTTCCCTAGGGCTGATTTTGGAGGAATTTGTAAATCTGTGCCGTGGCCACTGAAATTTGTTCCCAGCGATGGACACGGCTATGGTTTCTTCTAATAACAGGGACTCCTCTCCTACCTCTCCTCCCTTTCCTCTCTCTCCCCGGGGGAAGAAGTTATCATTCAGCAACTCTGCATGACCCTCCTCCTAATGGACAGATTTACTCATAGTTTCCACCGAATGGATGGAAGCCCGGTGTGCGCTGTCCTGTCCCCTCCTGTCATTTGTGGTCTGTGGCGGGGGCGCTGGTGGGGCAGACCACCTGTGGCTGGGAAAGCTAGGAGCCTCTTGGGGAAGAGCCAGTATCCTAATGAGGCCCAGAGCCAGCGTGGATCCCGGCCCCTCAGTGCAGGTGGAGTGGAGGCAGCTCAGAACATGTCCTAGCGGGTTTTTCGTGTTTTTTTTTTTTTTTTTTTTCCATCTGGCCTCACTCCTATTGCACTGGCATCGGAGCATGGAGGGCAGAGCCCACACAGTAACTGAAGAAGCCACTGCCTGAGGACTTGGGTGAAGCATTGGTACACAAGGGAGCAGAGGGCGAGTCCCACACAGCTGAGAGGACTGACTCCAGCAAAAACCACCTCTCAGCATTGTGCCCTGGTTGCTCCGCCCGGCTTTCAGGGGGCACAGCGAGG